CTGGACAGAAGACCCCAAGGTAAGGAAAGAGGCCCTAATCTGCCAACCGTGAACACCATGGCCAAGGGTTTGGAAATCCTTTAAATAACGTCACAGAAGCAGCCAGGTAGGTAGAGTCTGGGCTTTCAAGTCAGGCCGACCTAGGTTCAAATCTGAGGCTCACAGACACTAGACAATCTTGGCAAGCCCTTCACCTCTCCGAGCCCCAGCGTCTTCACTTACAAAATGGGGAAAGACCTCGGGGCACCTGGGCGGCTCAGTCGGTTAAGCGTCCGACCGCAGCTCAAGTCATGGTCTCGCGGTTGTGAGTTCGAGCCCGGCGTCAGGCTCTGGGCTGATAGCTCAGAGTCTGGAGCCTGCTTCGGATTCTGTGTCTCCCTCTCTCTGCCCCTCCCCTGCTCACTCTCTCTCAAAAATAAATAATTTTTTTTTTTTTAACTGGGGAAAGACCAACACTTAACCTGGGAGGGCTGATGCAATGACTAAGGACGTACATACAAGCACTCAGCATGGAACAGGCATGTGCTGAGCGCTAGTCTCTACCAGCAGGAGTGACACCAAACGAACACTGGGAGTGTCAGAGTCAGAGATGCCACAATTCTCTGACAGCACGGGAACAAAGGCCGCTCTCAGCACACATTAACAAATTCAAAACTGAAAATGGGCACTAGGTCTTCCTGCTTGTTCTAACACACATTTCTGTTCTCTCGGAAATCAGGAACTTCAAACGGAGTAGTTATGAAAGTGATGCTTATGAAAGAGTGCTGGATCTTGCAGGCTGGGAGAATGCCCCTGGCAGGTGCCTGTATCTAACTTTCTAGTAGGAGAAGGAAGGTCTGCTAAACAGGTGTCCTGCCAGTGCTCCGTATCACTCACCAAAGCGTGTGAAGTAAGGAACCGTGCTCAATATAGGGAATGGTGGTAAAAGTTAAATTCCAGAACCACTGTATATCAACCTATCGGCAAAGGGCAGGCACAGAAGTATACCCCGTATTCCATAATAAAGAATATCAGGGGCACCTGGGTGGCTCAGTCGGTGGAGCGTCCGACTTTGGCTCAGGTCTTGATCTCATGGTTCACGGGTTTAAGCTCTGCATTGGGCCCTGTGCTGACAGCTCAGAGCCTGGAGCCTGCTTTGGATTCTGTGTCTCCTTCTCTCTCTGCCCCTCCCCGGCTCACGTTTTGTCTCACTCTGTTTCTCAAAAATAAATGTAAAAAAAAATTAAAAAAAAAAAAAAAGAATATCAAAGAACAGAGGCTATAGGGCTATCGCGACAACCATCGGTTAAAAGGCAAGGAATGCTTATGAAAATTGAAAATGGTTTTAAACGTAAACATATGTTATGTGAAGAGTTTAACTGCATAGAAAAAAAAAATAAGAAGCACTTAGTTAAAAATGAGAAAGGAAACCTGGTCATGTTTTCATAAGAAAAAGGCAGTGGCATTTTTGTGAACCCGGTGGGAGGACAGGGGAATTAGGGCTCCCCCCCATCTTAGTTATTTCCATACAGAGGCATTTGTAGCCCACTGACAAAGTACTAAGAAGTTTCATGTGCATGAAAGACGACTTCGTTGGAAATGTGCTTGAAAATGGTTTTCTATTTGGTGTTCTTATGCCTGGTTGGCTGCTGCGCATGTGACACTACCCAGAATGAGAATTCTTAAGGCAAGACAGAGCCCCCCCTCTGAACCCCTGAATCCACTCTAGCCTCAGGGGGTTTCTCAAGTCTCTGATTTTTGAAGGACAAGCTCAAAGGTCTCCTCAAGTCAACCAAAGCTCTCGACAGGCGCAGAAGAGTTTTCACTATTCAGCTACAGCCCGGGGACTTGCCGACTCCGGCTTTACCGTTCCAGGTGGGAGTTTCATGGCTCTGGGAAGCTTAAAGATAGCTTCCCCTGTCTTCTCCCCTATTCTCAATCTTGCTCTGAGCCACGGTGTAGATGTGCCCGCCTTTCCCGCCCACCTACCTCCGTCTGTCCTGAAGAGCACTTCCCTCTCCAAACAGTTACCTCCCGTTCATCCTTCGCAAGAACACCAGCGCATCCCGTGAGAGAAGCCTCCGCTCCTCTGAACTGCTGGACTAGTAGTCCCTCCCGTATGTTCCGCAAGCCCGCCCCTACACGGGAGCTCAGTACGTGCACTGCATTCTATTCAGCTGCCTGCCGCTCCCACTACCCGTGGGGGTGCTGGGGCAGGAGTCTGGACCCGCCGCAGCGGCCTCACCTGAGAACTTATTACAAATGCAAATTCGAGGACCCTGTGGAAATTCAGAATCAGTCATTTTCTTAAGACTACAGCCCGGGCAGCAGTCAGCGTTAGGGCAGCTGGGATGCCCCACACACCAAGGCGGAGAACCACTGTAGGCAGTTTCTCAAGGGCAGGGGCCATGCTGTACTGTTTTTTGCATTCCCCAGAGCCTAACACTGTCTCTAGTACATGCTAAGAGCTCCATTTAAACAAGCACAAGTGTTTTAAACGAAGTTAAAAAATGTATGTGGCAAAGCATAGAAGAGTTATTTGGTTTGGGATTTTTTTCTAACTTCAAATGTGTGTGTGGGAGACAGCAGCAAGCTTTAGGGGTCAGTGGGGCCACCCCCTCCTGGACCCGGAATTCAGAGATCATCACTCCATTTTCTACTGTTTCCAGTAAACATCCCAAATCCAGATCACTGTCCATGGCTATCTGGGGCGGGGGAAGAGGCGGGGGCGAGCAATAGGAATCTTAGAGAAACAGAGGCCATTCCTAAGTGCAGTGGAAATCCTTGAACCCCCCCCCTCCCCCAGCACTGGGAGGAGCATTTCTAACCTGTGAAGTCAAGAATTTCAAACCACTTACTTCCAAGTAAGAGGGAGGTCGATTAGTATTTGCAATACAGGATTTCTAGATTGCTACCAAGGTTAAAGTGTTATCACAAAACACTACAAAGGGACTAAATAGGTCTCGGAACAAAATAAAAAAAAAAAAAACTAAACTGAGGGCTGTAGGCACTATATCACAGACATTTTGCAAAGTAAAAAATTCTAGAGGCATTTTTTTAAAAAAATGGTTTTTTTTAATGTTTATTCAGTTTTGAGAGAGAGAGAGAGAGAGCACGAGTTGAGGAGGGCAGAGAGAGGGAGACACAGAATCGAGCAGGCTAGGCTCCAGCCGGCAGTCAGCACAGAGCCTGGCCTTGGGCGCGCAGACCCACAAACCGTGAGATCATGACCTGAGCCGAAGTCGGATGCTTAACCGACTGAGCCCACCAGGCGCCCCTAGAGGCATTTTTAACCACTGCTTATTAAATGTGTAACAGGAGAAACTATCGTTAAGTTAGCCCTCTAAAATGCAGTTTCCTTTTGAAATCATGTTAATCAGCTTCAAATTCTGAAGTCATGAGAGTCACCCCCAAAAGAATCTTATGACCACTAAGATGGTCCAGGTAAAACAGAGGCTCACTTCAAAAACTAATTTTATCAGGTGCAAGATACCCAGATGGCACAGCGTATTTCTTCTAGGTTTTCTGTTCATCACCATGAACTGCCAAGAAACGCTCACCAGCCCCAAACCCTCCCAACCTCAGGTTTCCAGGGACACGGAGGCAAACCTTGTCAGTATCGTCAAGTTAAGACTTGGGTCGTGCCACCCAACTTCAGGACTGAAACAACACTGGTCTCCAACCCCCACTCCATCTATTTATGTTCTACAGTCAATCTTAAACCCAAAACTCTTCCCACCAAAGATGTTAGAAGCGAGACTCTCCGAAGTTAGAAAATCTTTAAAAAACTGGTTTTAGGTTAGGAGAACAGAGACCAGGGAGAAGGTCTCTTGGATTGGAGTTAGAAGCTAGAGACTGCTTTGATATTCTAGAAATATCCATATCCATCGGGAGCAACGAATTTCACAACTGAACTGACACCGTGGGTACTTTCCAGAAGACGGCGGGGAACAGAGCCAACAAGGAGCAGTTCTAAGTAAACCTCGTGGGAAACTCCACAATGTAAAACTTACATTGGAAAGGACTGATGTCTTAACCTGAACTTTATCTACTGCAATCAATACTAACAATTAATTCTAAGTCCCCAAGCCAGTACTTTCCGGCATATCTTTAAAATTCGTTTTTACCTCTTTCCACATAACGGTATGCCACATACCATTCCTTAACACTGAAAAAGAAAAAAAAAATGTTTCAATCAACATCGGTGAAAATCAAAATAAAACCAGCTTTCCAAAATCTAAAAGGCTCCTTTTACAATTCCACTTGTTACTTCCAACATGATCATATCGTTAGACATAAAGGTATACCACACCACTCCCCAAAATGGAGCCCAAATCTGTGTCCCATATGTAGGTTAATGTATACACATAAGTATAGATATATGCATATAAGTTAAATCTTGTCCTGTTTATCCCAGGAGAAAAATATCACCCTGTTGTTACGAGATTTAAAAACACACATACACATACACACACACACACACACACACACGCACGCACACAACCCCACAGATCTAATGTTCTAGAAATCAATAGAGTAAAAGAGAGAGGTAGGGCGCAATTACAAATCAAGGATGTGAATTCTTGGACATAAAATATGTCTAGCTCCTGAAAATTACCACCTTTTTGAAAATACACCAATTCTGTTCAAATCTTAAGAGCCAGGACTCACTTTTGTTGGACTGGTTTGTAATTTTGCTCTTGAAAATGTTTTATAGATCACTTCCCTCGACTTCTCTCCGTACCATTAGCTACTAATTTAAAATGCCTTAAATGCAGGTCTTAGGTTTTCCAGTGGAAAAAGTGACTCAGCCTGGTGTCTTACCTATCGTTTTCTTTTTGTTAACTGCATTGTCTGCCTTATGCCGCTTCTGTTACAAGAAAGAAAGAACGTTCTTAGATTCAAAAGTTCCAAATGAATAATTGAAACAACAAACAATAGATCAGGAAAGAAACAGGACACAAGGAAACCGACTGGCAGCAACATTAATGCTATAAAATTCAGCTCGGTGGTTTGTGACCCAGCGTCGCTTGAATTCAGTAGATAAATGTAGCAAATGTGGATGCAGGTGTAAACCATGACCTTTTGGCTCCAACAAGGAGTGAGCACTCTGAAGTATGAAACTTCTCACTCCTTGTTTGTTTTAGGCTCGACTAAAAAATTACTCAGGATGATAAACCCAACAACAACCGAATTCATTTTATTGGTAAAGAACTTCAGGCACAAAGTACGTTTCCTTTGATTTGTATTCCATTCATTTGTTTCCCGATTCCCAGAAAAATGTACATGTGTGTGTGAGTGTATGTGTGTGTGAGAAGGAGAGAGCCACAGACACTGCGGGGGGTGGGGTGGGAGGAAGGGAGAGAGAGAGAGAGAGAGAGAGAGAGAAATGGGTTGAGGGAGTGAGGAGTGGAGAGGAAGAGAAAGACTATGCAGACAAGACTACAGGTGGAGAGAGAAAAGGGGAGAAAGCATGAATACGGCTGTAGCCAATGAACTTGGAAATACACGGAGATTAACATGAGGGAAAGACTCATAAAAGTACCTCAGCCACAGCCAGCCCAACGCTGCAATAGAAGGCAGCAATATAATCCTTTCACTACCCAAATTAACAAGCTCTAAAGCAGGACACAAGGAACATTAGTGATGAAAATCAAAGAGGGGCCTCAGAGCTAACATTAGAAAATAGAGTTTGAACTACTTCTGTGCCATTGGATTTAAGACACTGTGTGTCCACGTTCCCTCCCCAAAAACAACATCGTGGGCCTTGACAGGCTAGTTAAGCTATCGACCAGTTTCCTGTCTTCAACAAAAAACCCAAAGCAACAGATAAGTTATAAGCTATATAACTTATACAACATTTTTATTGTATGAAGGCAAAAACTTACAAAATCTTCTACAATCTCTTTGATGCCTGCGATTGTTAAAATAATGATCAATGGCACCAGGGTGGTATATCTTCCTGTTGGAGATACATCTGGAATTTGCTGTAAGACAAGAGACCAAAAGAGGGAAGCTGACAAAATTTTTAAATGAAAATCCTCTCTATGTAAAAGAAAATAGGACACTCACCACTCTTTGAAGTTCTGTTCCACTTGTTAAACCAAAATGATTACATTTTAAAAACTAAGTACATGTTTTACGTATTTTAAGAATTTTATCCAACATTGCTATGTGTTTAGAACAGAAAGGGGGTTAAAAGTATCACCCGAGGGCCATTTTTCGAGGCGTCTTTTTAGTAATGCCACTGTCCTCCCAGCAATATCTAGATAAGTCTCCCTTTATGCAAAGATCATGTTTCTTCATGGAAACAATGATTGGATAAGGGGACAAATTACATCCAAGCATCATGACACTTTTTCAGTTACGTGACCTTTGAGCAAAGTCTCATTTTGCATGTAGTTAGCATTATGAATTTTAGATAACTTTTTTTAAGAACCTTACCTGTAATAAGGCAATGAAGAGGAAGAAGGCGTTAGCAGCTCTTCTAATCTGCTCATACAAGAATCGAGGTAGAAACGTCAACACGCTGTACTTGGCCGTACTGAAAGGACAAAGAAAAATGATAGCGTCGGTTACAAACTAAGTTCTAAAAAGCAAGAAGATGAAGTTTCAAGAATTTTACAAGTGGTTTGAAAAGTAAAGTAGTTCAAACTTCAGGACAAGAAAATTGCCATGCTGGCCCTTTACAAAATCTTGTAAAAGGACACACCTGACAAGAAAATCTTCCAATGGGATCTCTGTTTTCAAATTTAGACACATTTACTATTCACACGGTGTGAGCAGGGACATTTGTCCACCTTCTGGGAGCTATAGTAAGCACATCAAGAATATTAGTTAAAGGAAGACATGTCTCAAGGATCGCAAAACAGAAAGAGGTACACATTCCAAATGCAGAAGATACGAACACTGAAGTAGATAGAAATGCCTTGGGTAATTCACACAACGGGGTAGAATTATGACGCCATGATTTGTGATGCACGATAGTTCTTAATAGAAAGCCATCGATTCAATGCAGCAAGTTAATTCCATAAAGTATGCCCTGGGTACCAGGAAGGTATCCCTCTGGATACCTACCACAGGTGGGGGCTTTATTTTTGGTCAACCACACCTGAAAAATCTCCATTCCTATCACATCCTTTACTCATGCTTGCTTGGAACGGTTTTCCAGTTTTACTAAGAAATAATTGATATACATCACTGTATAACTTAAGGTGCACAGCATGATGCTCCGATTTACATCTATCGTGAAGTGGTTAACACAACAGGTTCAGCCAACACCCATCTTCTCATATGGGCACAAGCAAACTTTAACTTTCATATCTATCATACAGCAGTGGTAGCTATCGTCATCATGTTGTACATTACATTCCTTGTACTTATCTCCTAACTGGACGTTTGTAACTTTTGGCCACCTTATCCAATTTCCTTCCTCCCACCCTCCACTTCTGGTAATTACAGGTTTCATCTTTTTCTAGGAGTTTGGGTTTGGATTCTTTAGATTCTACGTGTGTGAGATCATGCAGTATGTCCTCTTTTTCCGATTTACTTCACTTACTTCACGTGCCTTCAGGGTCTATCCACATCTCAAGTGGTAGGGCTCCCTCATTTTCTGTGGCTGAGTAATATTCCACTTTATGCATATACCACAACTTCTTCATCCATTCACCCATCAACAGACAGGCTGTTTCCCTGTCTTGACTCAACAGTGCTGCTATATTGCCCAAAGTTGAACTGATGGGTCATAGGGTAGTTATATTTAATTCTGTGAGGAAACTCCATACTGTTCTCCCCAGTGGCTGCACCAGTTTATATCTCCACATCCATGCCAGCATTTGTTATCTTTTTTTGATGCTGGCTATCCAAATACGTGTAATGTGATAGGTCCTTATGGTTTTAATTTGTATTTCTCTAATGACTAGTGATGCTGAGCATCTTTTCATGTGCCTATTGGCTTTTCGTCTATCTTCTTTGGATAAGTGTCTATTCAGGTCCTTTGCCCATTTTTCAACTGACATTTCTTTCTATCGAGTTGTAGGAGTCTTTTATATATATTATATACTAGCCCCTTATCAGATACTTGGTTTGCAAATGCATTTTCCCCATTCCACAGATTCTCTTTTCACTTTATTGATGGTTTCTTTGGCTGGGCAGAAGCTTTTGACTTGGAGGTAGTCCCACTTGTTTTTCATTTTGTTGCTTGGGTTTCAGGGCTCACATCCAAAAAATCACCAAAACCCACGTCAACGAGCTTGTTTCTATGTTCTCCTGCAAGAGTTTCATGGCTTGCGGTCTTACACTTAAGTCTTTACTTCAAGTTAATTTTTGTAAGTGGTGTAAGATGGGGGTCTAGTTTCATTCTTTGACATGTGAGTATCCAATTATCCCAGCACCTTATTGAAAAGATGGTCTCTTCTCCCTTGAGAATTCTTGGCTCCCTCTCCAAGTATCAGTGGACCATATATACTCGGGTTTATTTCTGGGCTCTTGATTCAGTTCTGTTGATCTATTTGTCTGTTTTTATGCCAAGACCATACTGTCGTGATGACTATGGCTTTAGAGTATAGCATTAACTTACGAAGTGTAATGCCTCTCACTGTGTTCTTCCTTCTCAGAATTTCTTTGGCTATTTAGGGTCTTGTGTGGTTCCATATCATTTTAGCAGTGTTCTTTCCACTTTTAAAAAATGCCACTGGATCTCGACAAATATTGTGTTGAATCTGTAGATGTTCCCATTTTTGTTTCCACCTGGGACATCCTCTCTCACCAAATGGTCTCTCCTTCCCATCTTACCCCCTCAAACTTATATATCCCATTAAATTTGGTCAAATCACAGACTCTTTTTCCTCCAAGCCCACAGGATGGTGTTTGTCCCTACATTATATGGTCTCTGCTTTGCTTTGTATTATATTTATCCATCCCCAAAATAGATTCTGGGAACATTAAGATGCTTACTTCAACTTCCTATGTTCCCACTACATAGCAGATAATCAATGAATAATGAAATAATCCAAAGACATAAAGTGAGAAGCTGAAGGGGCCAAATGAACCAGATTTCTTTTGGCTGCTCAAAGGCTTACCAATAAGAAGTACCCGCTTGACTCCTAGTTTGCCTTCTGAAGACCTAATTCTGAGCCAACTCTTTTTTTTTTTATTGCCTTTTTAAAATATTTCTTTAATTTAAACTTTAAGTTAGGGGATATACAGTGCAATATTGGTTTCAGAAGTAGAAAACTCAGTGATTCATCACTTATATAACACCCAGTGCTCATCACAACAAGTGCCCTCCATAATACCCATCACCAATCTAGCCCATCTCCTACCCACCTCCCTCCATCAACCCTGTCTGTTCTCCATCATGAAGAATCTTTTGTGGTTTGTTCCCTTTCTTCTCTTTATCCCCCCGCCCCCACCCTTCTTATATGTTCATCTGTTTCTTAAATTCCACCTAGGAGCAAAATATTATTTGTCTTTCTCTGACTTATTTCACTTCGCATTAATACACTCTAGCTCTATCCACGTCATCACAAATGGCAAGATTTCATTCTTTTTGATGGCTGAGTTATATTCCATGGTGTGTGTGTGTGTGTGTGTGTGTGTGTGTGTGTGTGTGTATACATATATACCCCATCTGCTTTACCTATTCATCAGTCGATGGACATTTAGGCTCTCTCCATAGTTTGGCTATTGTTGATAATGCTGCTATGAACATCGGGGTGCATATACCCCTTTGAATCTGTATTTTTGTATCCTTTGAGTAATACCTAACAGTGCAACTGCTGGATCGTGGGGTAGTTCTATCTGAGCCAACTCTTAACTGAAATATATGATAGCAAGATTATCCAGCAGAACAACACAACACACAAATACACAACAAATCAGAAACACCAAAATAGAAGAGCAAATGCCTCAGGAGACAGAACACTAGGGGCATATATACTGCTATAAGTCCCAACGACAAAATAATAAAACCAGGCAACTCAAAAAATATAGCATCTTAAGGTCACTTGAGGAAACAGGAAACTGTCCCATGTACCATTTACTGCTACTGTCTCAGAAAAGATCATCCCCATGGTACATCAGCCTTGTGTTTCACAATACACACTGGAGTCATCCTCAGAGAATTATTTTTAGCCTTCGTCTGCTTACAGTATTAAATATACATATAGACAATTACATGAAAACCACTTCTAAGACCGTTCAAACGTAAAGATTCTGACACTTGAAGGGATATCACTGAACCAGCTAGAAAATACGTTTGCATGGAGCCCCCATTCATTTATGTAGCCCGTTGGGGTATAAGACGTCACTGTAAAATTTTGCCAGACAGAACAAACTAGCTGCAATCAAGCTCATTAAAGAGTAGGGAAAATATATCAAGTTCACGTACACGACAGTACATGTCGTATAAAGTTACGGTATAAAGTTCTCTTAACTACAGTTTAGAGGACAAATTCAAACGGAACATCACGTATTCCTTTATGGTGTACTGACCACTGAAACAAAGCAAACAACGTTTATCGTAAAGAAAACAGGAAAATTCATATACTTGAAGACGAAAAAGCATCTTATAAAGTAGCGTGACTATAAACCCCAGATTCCATCTGTATGGAACAGACACACTCACACTGACGGTACATGACCCTGTCTACGCGTGAACGTTTCCCAATTCAGTAAGATACTAAGTGTGCATTAAGAGGACCCGCCTGTCTCTGAAATGCTGTAAAGGTTTGGAGTAGACAGAGATCCCATTTATGTGAGAAAACCAAGAGTAAGATGTGGGAGGAAAACATAGTAACTTTTATTCTAGTCAGACTAGAAAAGTGAGTCTAAGATATTTTCATACTGAAACAGAATGAGTGTAATCAGTAATTCAGAGAAACCGACACGGGTCTAAGAGATGGCTACTGCGTAGCCTGAAAACAATCGTCTTGACACACAACCCTGATGTGTCCTGATACAGATTTAGAGACACACAACTACAACCTGCTAAAGGCAAGCACCTCAAAATCCTTCCACCAGAAGAGTTTAGGGCAGCGCCTCCCCAACTTAAAGATGCATATAAATTGCTGGGGGACCTTGTTAAAATGGATTCGTTGGGGTTCTCCAGAGAAACAGAAGCAACAGAATGTATACACAGAGACAGGGAAAGAGAGATGTTAAGGAACTGGCTCGCCCAATTGTGGAGGCTTGACAAGTCCAAAGTCTGCAGGGTGGACCAGCCGACCGGAGACCCAGGGGAAGATCTAACGTGCTCTTTCACGTCTGATGGCTGTCTGATGGCAGAATTCCTTCTCGTCCAGGAAAGGCAGACTTCGTTCTGTTCAGGCTTTCCACTAACTGCATGAGGCCACCCAAAGTAGAGGATCATCTGTATTCACAGTCTACCAATTTAAATGCTAATCTCATTCAAAAACACCTTCACAGAAATACCTACAATAATGTTTGACCAAACACCTGGGCACCACGGCCGGGTCAAGTTGCACATAAAACGAACCAATACATGCGCATTCTGACTCGGTAGGTCTAGAGTGGGCCTGTGATTCTGCATTGCCAACAAGTTCCCAGTGAGGTCAACGGTGCTGGCCCAAGGACCATACCCTGACCGGCAACCACCCTTGAACAGGTAGCTTTGCTCAAATCTCCTTTTTGAAGTCAGTCCAGGTGAACACTGCAACACCTAACAAGGATGAGAGACATCTACCATCCGGTCCCCGTACCAGGGTTAAGAACCATACACAGGGTGAAACGGGCCAATTAAGAAGGTTCCCAACAGAAGCGTCCGTTCACCCAGGTGAACGAGTCGGTCCCAAAAGATGCCCACTCAAACCACACGTCAGCACGCCTGCGGACATGGCTGTTCACGGCAAGGACAGGCACTAGCTCCAAGCAGCCCTAGGTAGTTAGCACATCGTAGAGCCTGGGGAAGGGGCAGAAGTGACCAGGAGAAAACAGGCATCTCCTGTGGTTCACGCAGATGCCCTCTAAACAGGTTAGAGCAGCGTCCGCCAAAATTGGGCGACGTGAGGAATGACCAGGGGCTCGTCAAACATCCATCCGACCTTCCTTCCACGGATATTCACTGAGCCCCATCCGGGCACTAGCACTGTGTCAGGCACCACAGGG